GACCTCATTACGCTACACATTCACTGAGAATCGAGGGGATCCAAAAAAGATTTATAAGACATTTGTCATACGCAAGCGGATTTAGAAGTAATAAGAAGCGTGTATCATATGAAAATAATTTGATCAATTTCAAAATGATTTCTCTTGAAAACCGCAGGGATATTATAGATTTGATTTTTGCTTCTAAAATTATTAGTGGTGTTATTGATTGTCCTGAAATTTTAAGTAAATTTAATATATGCGTTCCCTTTCGTTACCCGCGTTACGCTCGTAAGATTACACCATTGACTAGACCATATAGAAGAACAGTGTTTGGCTCCAATTCCCCAATTGCTAGATTGAGTAAACTTGTTAACAAATTTAGAGATAAAATTGATATATTTTTCGACCCACCTAACAAGCTCCGTCGCACCTTAAGAGACCATCTTTTGTAACATTCTATAAAATATGTTCTTTCCTTTTCGCTTCTATATATTTTTATTTGTATTTAGTTATAATTTCTTTTAATTTTTAATTATTTCTTTATCCTAGTAATAGAGGTACACAGTGCTGAGAAAGTTATTTGCATGTTGTATCCGCCTGTAATTATTTGTACATTTTAGTTCTTATCGCTTCATTGTATTTAAATAGCATGTAAGGAATGATACAAATGTTGGTGGATCAATAAAAAAAAAAACTTTGAAACTTTTTTATAATTTCTTTTACACAACAGCCACAGATATATTTATATTTTCCGCTACAGAGAGATGTATCACAGACTAATCATTTCAATCGGTCATAAAAATAATCGAAACGTACGTAATTTATACTTTATAAATCATGTATTAAACAATTATTATGTGATATTATATTACAAAATTTATAATTTATTCGATAAATAAAAATAATTTTAATGAGAAAATTGTAAAGATATTAAAATGCAAATATCAAAGTTCCTAAGCTGCAATTGAAATATAATGCGTAACATGGATCACTGCCTCCTTCTTAAATTCTGCCATCTATTGAGTATTTAATCAACTAATATTACACAAACTGAGGAAATTATGACCCGTACCATACACTTGATGGCGTTACTTTCTATGCCCAAATGCCTTGTTATGGAACTGTACCCCCCTGATTCACTCTAGCTCCGGCTTTTGAATGGAAGGGCTGTGTCGCTTGTGCTCAGAACACACATTACGCAACAGGACGACGTAAAATTAAAATAATAGACACTTAGGTTTATAGTATTGGCGCAATGGGATATAAGCGTAATAAAAATAAGAAGCGTATGATAAACTTAATGAAGTAAGTATCAAGTACCTATCTACTTACAGTATTAGTGATTACAAATATTATGTAGAAATTTAGCATATGACAGGTTTGGTGCAATGGCTAAGCGATTGGTTGTTGCCCTACTACTGTCACAGGTGTTTCTGTATGTGAAAATTTGTGGTTGTAATAGCACCGTCTACGATTCCGAAAAAAACGAGTGTGGGGCAACTTTATGAAAAAAAAAACATGCAAAGTTACCTAAATAGGTTTGTTTTTATTTTATCAATATTCAACAAAATTAGCAGCAATTGTGTTTTATAACGTTGCCCCACTCCAGTATTTCTCCTGAATCGGAAACGGTGCGATTACAAACACAAATTTTCACAACTGTAGGCCATAAAAATATTTGTTCCGTATGGGAATCGAACCCCCGACCCGCAGAGTGCAGAAGCCGAGCACTTAGTAATAAAAAAATATAAGTGTGTTCGGTAAGTACCTATCTATAATATCTAACTATAAAGAAATAAAACTATTACTTACTTAGCCGTCCTTATGTTATCGGTACTCCGTGGCGCTCTGGCTTAGCAATGAGTTGCTGCGCTGGAGTCCGTGGGTTCGAATCCCGCACGGAACAATTATTTGTATGACCTACAAATAATTGTTCCGGATCTGGATGTTTGTTCTTGTGTAATTTATATTTGTAAACTGCGTGTTGAGAAAATCCTAGACTATAGTGCTACCTACTACATAAGTACATAAAAATTATGGACCTATTGAGTAATGACGTACCTTGATAGTTTAGCTTTTGTGATATGTTATTAGTACACGTGGCTACATAAATATCAAACTACAACCTCTAGTATAAGCTGATCTCAAATTGTAAATGCATTACGTACAATGAGAGGTCAGCTTTTACTGTAAAGTTCCTCTTATAGTGGAAGGATCTGCCCATTGTTGGTTTAGTACTAAGCTTGAGTTTTATAGTTTTCGCCGTGTATGTATGTAATGTGACAGCCGTCTACGTATGTAATTATGTTGGTAGCAGGTCTATGCAAGTACCTACATATACATACCTATATAAGAAATTTTGCAAACCGATTCTAAGCTACTGCATAAATTCTACTGCTACAAAAAAATAGTCAAGTGCGAATTACCATTGCACTGAAGTTCTGTAGACATTGGCTTGGTGTAGCGTTGCTAGGCGTCCGGATAAAGCCGGACACAGTCAGGCTTTTTGATTGCGTGTCTGGCCAAATTAGACGGTGTCCGGCCTGTCCGGCTTTTGTCAGGCTTTTTATATTTGACCATTTTTTACATTTTTCATGTACTTAACACACTATTGCAATTATTGAAATTAATATTGTAATAAATATTGAATGATTAATAATAAAGAACACTGATTCATTCAATTTTACTTTAAGATTTTATGGTAAATAATATAAGCATTGTTTTACTTTAAAAATATATATTATCGTGTTATACTAAGACTGAATAATTAAGAGTGTCCGGCCTTTTTATCAAAATGTCCGGTTAAGCTGGATGGGCTGTCCGGCTTTTCGGTTTTAAGACCTGGCAACTCTAGCTTGGTAGTAGGTTTACGCTTTGCATTTTACAATCTTATAAACTTACATTATAGTTTTCGCCTCGTATTATATGCTCGTTCGATAATAGTTTATTGTACTCTAACAAAATCGCTTTGGCTTCGTATTCCCGCGTGAACTCGAGCCATGCATAGTGTGCGAACGAGTTCGCATAGTGTGCGAACGAGTGGCGCGCGAAATTGGAGGCGAAATTAGAATTTGATCTTAGGTAGTATAGGCCCTTAATGAGAACACAAAGGTCCATTTACATTCGTACAAATTTCTTGCCTGTTGCACAAGATAAAGTTTAATATGCTGACCGTGTAGTGGCAGTGTAAGAAAATCGTTCCATGTGTGTCGTAAGAGGGACAGAGGGATATAAAAAACTGCAGTTGCCAAACCGCTTGCAGTACAAACTTAATATCACCTATAAAGAAATCTATGGGGGAGGTCCGAGTTCGGCAGCGGACTTTGATAGGTTGCAACGGTAAATAATTAACCTGCATCGTCTAAACACAAAACCCATTATTGGTAACAGCGTTTAATCATCATCATCTCAATCCTAACCATCATTACTTAAAAGTTATTCTCTCAGTTCAAAACAATATTTGTGGTGCAAAGAAATAGATGTTACGATAAAGATTAGTCAAAACTTGTGCACATATCCAATGTATCAAGCCTTATGTGCAATAAAAGTTCCAAAAAATTCTCAGATTGTTTATCAAATTTATCAATAAAAATGTTAATCAAAGTAATACAAGAAAGTTACGCAATGTAAATTAGACATTAGTGCTTCATTGTCTATTTGCATTCAAGGATGGTATTTTATTTTTTCCATCGCCCTAACCGTGTACAATACAACTGTGTCCAAGGTCATCTGTATCATAAAACCGAACGTTATCTAAACAAATAAATAAAAATGTAGTGTCTATTTGTAATGTCAAAATAACATATGAAATTATAAACGGTATTTATAAAACAAAATTGTTTCTCTGTCGGTCTGTCTGTCTGTTTTTTTTATAGAAGAGGGGGCAAACGAGCATGCGGCTCACCTGATGTTAAGTGACTACCGCCGCCCATGATCAACCGCAACACCAGGGGAATCGCAGGTGCGTTGCCGGCCCTTTAGAAAGGAGTAAGCTCTTTTCTTGAAGGTCCCCAGGATTGTACCGGTCCGGAAAAATCGACACACATGCGACCTGAAACGTACAGGGCCAGACCAAGAGCTGCGGCACATCGCCATTCAAAATGCAAAGAGATGCAACATCTCTTCGCAGTGCCAGCGAATCGAGCCGATCGGAAAGCACTCGGTCGTCGACGATTCGAGCCGATGCTGCGCTGGATGCGTTCAAGTGGAAGGAGCTGGTACTGGGGAGCTCCAGCCCAGAGACGAGAACAGTATTCCATGGCGGCCGAACCTGCGCCTTGTAAAGTTGCAGGCGGTGTACCGGCATGAAATACTGTCACGCTCTGCTGAGCACGCCAAGCTTATTAGTGGCCAATTTGGCCTTCTCTTCCAAGTGACCACAAAACTGCAGGTCACTCGATATGTCGACGCCGAGGATTCCGATACTGGCTGAGGCAACAAGGAGAGTGCCTTGAAACTGAGGAGATGCGACAAAGGGGTTCATTTTAGCGGTTAACGCGCAAACTTGTGTCTTCTGGGGGTTAAACTGGACTAGATTTAGTCGCCCACAATCCGAGACTCGGCTTCAGACACAAGTTTGTCCCGGTACTCGGAGACGTTTTCCCGAGAAATATTGGCACGGCCGGTGTACAGAGTATCACCAGTGCTGTCATTTGCATAGCAATGAATGTTACGGGTTTGCAACATATCATTGATATGCAGAAGAAACAGCGTTGGCGATAGCACGCAGCATTGTGGAACGTCTGTCTGTTTGTTCCGAATAATCTCCGAAACGGCTAGATTGATTTTGACGGGACTTTTACATACAGATAGCTGATGTTACAAGTTGTAACTTAGGCTTTATTTTAGAAAAACATTTAGTGTTCCACGCAAAAAAAAATCAAAACCCATGAAATCCAACCGTAATAAATTCCACGCGGACGAAGTCGCGGGGAACAGCTGGTATTACATAATTGAAAACGTGCATAATTGTTGTAATACACAGTAGTTTGTCAAAGAAGTCTACATTGATAGCAATTATGATGTGGGTTTCGGGTTTAATATTTATATTATTTTGTGGATCTACAATCGATTGTTATGTTGCTAAGTGTAAGTGGATATAGATTTACTAAAATATTATCTTCTTTTCTTTATCTTAACTGTCGCTAAAGACGTCTATTAAGCAAGTTTCTACATTAACCTTTTATAATAAATTCTGTAAAACAGTCGTATGAAAAATCGTGTCACTGAGACAAAAAGCAGCTGAGCGTAGCTTTTATATGAATGATAAAAGAAAAGGGCAAAGGATTGTGGGGTGGAATTTTCACGTCAGGCATACCCATGTAAAAGCCAGAGAATTTTAATGTGGAATGAATATGTTAGGCAATCTTCGGGCTATTTTTATGAACATATGGCTGCCTCGCGCAGAGACAAAATAATCAGGACATAATAAAAATGGAAGTGTTGGCCCGATATCGAAATGTTGGTAAGTTTAATGAATTTTGGGGAGAAATAAAAAAGCTAGAACATAAAAAATATTTGCTTATAGTTAACTGTAGATGGAGAAAAAAGTAAAAAAAAAACATAGCAAAATTATATAGAAATCAGTTTAATCCTGTACAAAATAAATCTAAATAATCTTTTCAATACTTATATGAATGATTTAATCGTGGAGCTCAGCAGATCCCCGGTAGGGCTCATACTGGACGACAGATATGTTACAGCCTAAGCTATGTTGACTATATGGTGCTGCTCAGTCTCTCGATTAAAGGATTGAAAAAATTTATTGAAATCTGTGAAAGATATGCGGTTGAATTATTGATATTTATGTATTGCTCAGTAATAAACCGCAATCCGCAAATTTTATACCGAAGCACAATGATCTGCAACGATCTGAGGGCCGGTGATAACCTGTGGCAACATTGTGACGCATAACGCGCTGCTATAATCTGTGGGGACAAAAAAAGAATAAAAGGGAGGGTAGGAAGCGTAAGAAGCCTACATCTGTTTGTGTTATCGTGGAGTGAATATCTCTTCAAAACAAAAAATAAGGACTACTCTAGAGTGTACCGTGTACAATCTAAGTACTAGTCTATTCTATCGTGTAGAAGAAGCCACCAGGAGCTGTCAACGTTTGCCGATCTTGGGAAGCTGGCTAGTAAGACCATGAGTAGTTTTATTGTTTTCTTGGTGTAATTTTGTGACTGCGGTAACTGACAGTTTCAGGGGATATTAAATATCAATACAGTCCACTATACCCCATAAATAATAAAAGATTTTCTCAATAATTAAATATACGTGTGTAAATAAACGCCCAAGAGAGTAAATTTTGTACTCTAATTGGGGGTGCCTCGCTCTTTCACTGTTAAGTTAAGTATAGAATCCTCTCTCTCTCTCTCTTTCTCTCTCTCTCTCTCTCTCTCTCTCTCTCTATATATATATATATATATATATATATATATATATGGAATCTTGTGTGTGCTGTGAACGTTATGTTTGTTCCTTATCGACACGGGACACGATTACTTTTAGCGGAGCTTGTCCGTCAGTATTTATTTGGCTTTCACTGAGCTTAAAAAAATAATTGGTAAAAAATCAGCAAATAGTTCAAATCAAAACTAGAGACTTTTTCTAATAATTTCTCGACATAAACAATAACCTGAGAAATTCTTTTGCTGGATATGGACATCCTTCGTTGTAAAGAGACCCGCCGATGATAGCAGAACAATAGGCTAGCGGTCGCAAAACTTGCGTCTCACACGCTAGAGACTTTTCTTTTTTTTATAGAATTAAGTTGACAAGCGAGCACATCGTCCACCAGATGGTAAGTGGATGCTGTGGCTTATAGACATCTACATTTATCTTCGATTAAGAATCAAAATACAGATACGTTGTCACCTCTGAGAACTTAGATGCAATGCTTCGTTTTACAGTTAAAAGTGTGTCCGTTTCTCTACAGTTACCATACGAAATAAATTATTCTGTGAAAGCGTGGTCCTACCCAGGCTAAGTCGACCCATTCGTGCTAGACTCATAATATAGCTGCATCGTGGCTCTACCACGTATGATCTATTTTACTGCCATCTATTGGTTGATAGCTTATAATTTTTCGTCTTTATACGGTTTCGTCCAAGGTCCACTGAGCATGAGCCTATCCTATTACATGGAGGGTTTGTCTCAATCATCGACCTTGGCAGGTGGATTTACATGATATCCCATGTGCGCCGTTTTTTAGAATTCAAAAGTAAAAAAGTTCGCGCTATCCATTGTATTTTAGATAATAGTATTTTTTTATTCAATAGCGTAATGTTAAGATAGTAAATATTTTAAAGTAGACATTTTCAGAGATTGGCCACAAATTTGTAAATATTGTTCATTTTTCTATAAAGGAAGTCACATTTTGGCAATAAATGATTCTACTCGTTACAAGTTTTTCATTTTTATATTCTTACCTCGATGAGTTCTATTTTCGTACCTCTCAAACCCCTAGCGGCCTCATGAGACCGCGGCCATATTCCGTCAAATCCCTAGCGGTCTCATGAGGCCGCACCCACGCACAGCACCCATAAAAACTTATACATAGAGACTACTTTTCTATGAAGAAGTTCAGCATTTTAGAATCAATATAAAATTTCCTATCCTCTAATGTAATAAAATTAGTTATCTAATAGATATTTATTTATAATATCTACGTTCATTTCGTACGCCATTTTCGCGTGAATGTTATTGGGTTGATTTTTGGATTTTCCTAGTGTTTTATTAGTGTTTTAGTACAGTGTTTTATTATAAATTTGTAACGAAAGTTTTTGTGTGATTATAACTTATCTTTTTACGTAAATAATTTCGAGTAATATATATTGAAATAATTGTGATTTTCACGCTGCCGACATTAGCTTGGTAAGTTTTTTTTTGTTGTCAAAATACAATAAAATCTTTTTGTAATGAAGTAAAACCTGACTTTTGTTTAGACCACAGTTTAGAGAATTTTGAACAAATTTTATAATGCTAAACTTCTTCATAGAAAAGTAGTCTATAAATATAAGTTTTAATGGTTTTAAATGATGTGGGTGGGTGCGGTCGCATGTGACCGCTCGGGATTTGCCGAGCGCATGCGACTGCATGGGATTTTTATTAGGATTGAAAGGTTAATTTAAATATGACCAGATATTTGTGTCGATATTTTTTATTCGCATTTTAATAATTATACGGCGAAATATTCATGGACCACACAAGAAACTGAGACAAACCGGGAAAAACACTCTTAATTACCTCAATGATATAAATAAGCAAACTTGTTCTATCTTGTCACCAGCGTGTGCATTCCCATTTTTTTGATTTTTGGAATAACTAAGATGATTATTTATATAAATACGGGTATTCTCATTTAGATCAATATCTTACGTTGAAATAAATTTAGTCTGGCGAGAAGTCGAGTGTCTGGTGAGAGTATAAGCATAAACACTCACGCCGGTCACTCAGAGGGGTAGACAGAGACCACGGACTTCCATTTGACACGATCCTGACATACCTCTTTAGCCTCCTTTACATCCATATATCTACACATACATGCTCGTCGGTTAAGGGTACTTTTAACGTGGCCCATTTTCAAAATATCGCCAATTTGGTCGATAAACTTTTTTCTAGGGCGTCCCTTCCCGACTCTGCCGTTCACATTTGCCATACAAATTTGTTTTGTCACTCTTTCCTCATTCATTCTTTCTACATGACCAAACCACCGAAGCATTCCTTTCTTAATCCTGGTCACAACATCATCTTGCATACCACATTTATCTCTTATCATGCAATTTCTCATCTTGTCATTCAGATTCAACCCTAGCATACTCCTTAAAGACCGCATTTCTACAGCATTTATTCTACTTTCATGCTTCTTCTGCCACACCCAGCTTTCACTACCATATATTAAAGTGGGGACTAACACAGCATTATGAATTACCGTACGTGCTTTTTTTGACACATTCTGGTTCTTCACAATAGAGTGTAGTGCCCCATTCACTCTATTCCCTGCATTTACTCGTCGTTCTATATCCTTATCATATCTACCATCCCTGCTAAATACACATCCCAAATACACAAACTCATTCACTTGCTCAATTAACTCTCCTTCTATTCTTATTTCACATACCGTTTTGCTTTCCTCTCTTTCAAAAACCATCACTTTCGTCTTACTTGCGTTCACTTTCATTCCCCTTTCTTTTAATGCCCAGTTCATTAATGTAACCATCATTTGCAACTCAGCCGCCGATGACGCAAATATGACTTGATCATCGGCATACAAAAGGGATTTGACGGTTAACTCGCCCATTCTTAACCCACATTCTTCATCTTTCAAAGTTTGCAAACACCTGTCCATAAATAGGTTGAACAGTCAAGGGGAAGCCACACAGCCCTGTCTGACACCCTTTCGGATGCCAAACCAGTCCGAGTAGACCCCATTGATCCTGACACAAGCACTAGAATCCCTATAAAGAGACCTCAATGCCTGTATCAAACCATCGCTCAACCCATATGAGTTCAGTGTTTGCCATAACACATTCCTGTCCACTCTGTCATAAGCCTTTTCCAAGTCCATGAACGCACAAAAAACTTTCTGGTTTTTAGCCAAAAACTTCTCCGCAATCATGCGCATGGAAAAAACTTGATCTGTACACCCCATTCCCTTTCTAAAACCCGCTTGCACATCCCAAATTTTTCCATCAGTTTCTTTCATAACTCTTTCAATTAACACCTTAGCAATACAGTTTACCCACAATACTAAGCAAGCTGATACCACGGAAGTTTTTGCAGTCCTGCTGTGACCCTTTTCCTTTATATATTGGTACTATAACTGCTTTACAACAGTCGGTACGGTACCCGTTTTAATTCCCAACATAAATGAAACAAGGGAGTGGTGGCAGGCCTGCCACCACTCCCTCTCCAGCCCTTAGCATCACGAGTGATACTCTATCATATCCAGCTGCCTTACCTGCTTTCATGCTTTTCATTGCTTTCATTATTTCATCTACACTTATCTCCATACCCCTTTCCACTTCTTTCGGAATTTCTTGTTCATTTAATTCAGACGACTCTTCACTCATAAACACGCTTTCAAAGTATTCCTTCCATCTGTTTAAATTCGAAACTTCATCATGCAGAATACATCCATTCTCGTCTCATATAGCATTAATTATAGGCTGTTTTGTATTTCCCCTGGCAGTTCTTACGAGTTTCCAGAACATATTTATATTAGCCTGGAAATGATCAGATATCCTTCTATCATTCTTATCCGTTCTTTCTTTCTTTTTCCTTTCAACTATTTCTTTTACTGTCTTATTTAGACGTCTAAATTCTGCCTTTTTTCCTTCAATCTCATCATTCATACCACCAGAATTACCAGTTTTAGTTGCTAGTAAATTTATCCATGCTGTCTTCTTTGATTCAACTTCCACCCGCACCTCATCATCCCACCACAATGTATTCCTTTTCCTTTCATTTGTTCTCTTACTTACACCACATACTTCGGTGGCTGCATCCACCAAACCTTTCTTCATATTATCCCACACAGTATTCAAGTCTAAATCATTCATACAAAACTCATTCAAACACCTAATATTTTCTCTCAGTCTATATTTATACCTCTCTTTCACATCTTCGTCTTGTAACTTCTCTATTCTTATACGCTGTAACTCAGTGGTAGACACAGATTTTCGATGCCGCCAACGCTTGAAAAGACATTTAATTCGACATAAGACCAAGTAATGATCCGTCCCTACGTTGGACCCCCGGTAAACCCTTGTATCTACGACTGCGCTCCTCATTCTTTCATCCACAATTACGAAATCTATCATGCTTCTATCATCACCTCTTTCCCATGTATACATGTGAATCTTCTTATGACGAAAAAAAGTATTTGTCACAAAAAGATTCTTTTCCACACATACGGTGAGGAGGTCTTCACCATTTTCATTTATACTTTCATCACCAAACATTCCCAATATCCTTTCATAACCAGACCTCTTCACCCCAACCCTTCCATTAAAGTATCCTAACATAATAATATTTTCATTTTCCTTACATTTTGTAAACACCATCCTTACCATGTCCCAAAACTGCTCTCGGATGTAAGTGGGCTTAGACATGTCTGGGGCGTACACCACTAGCAAGAACAGCTTCTTTAAGCCCACTTTCATTCGTATCCATAGCAGCCTCGGGCTTACACATTCATACCCTTTCACACATTGACCCATTCTTTCTGAAAGGATGAAACCGACTCCCTGGCAAGCCCGTTCGGTCTCGTCTACACCAGACCAATACGCGGTATACGTGCCATGTGCAGTGGCATCCTTTCCCTTTCGTTTCGTCTCATTTACACATAACACATCTATTCCTCTATCATTCATCATTTCGCATACTTCATCCATCTTATCATTCATTGCTCCACATACATTCAGCGTAGCCAGCCGGGCTTCCACAATCCACTTTTAGCCCCTCCGGGAGACAGAACGTGACGGGTGGCGAACCTCGTCGCGATCGCACCGGCGACGAGGTTCTTTCTGGTGAGAGTCTTATTTCATTTACTTGTTGATAAAAGAAAAAATAATAGGATTATATTAAAGATATGCCATAATTAACTGGCTGATTAAACCATTGAGCCGTGACAGTTAGATACTCGTACATAATACATTGTAACGTGAAATTAAGTGCTGATATTTACTACAACTTACCGCAAGAAGAATCTTAACTTATCGAAGAAGATTTACTAATCTTCTTAGTTCCAGTCAAGTATACTATACATCTACAATATGCAGGAGTTTTAAACGGGATATAAACCATAAAATTAGATATTTCTATCCAATGATTATTTATATTCTTGCAGACGAATGTCCAACCAACGAGGAGTACCTCACTTGTGGGTCAGCATGCCCCTTAAACTGCACCAACCAGGAACCAGTTGCATGCACAAAGAATTACGTTGCAGGTTGTTTTTGCAAGCCTGATTTCCTGAGGAATAAGAATGGTGCATGTGTACCAGTTGAAGAATGTTACGGTAAGAATATGCAGGATACATTGGCCTAGTGTCTAGGATTTCTATTTTATTTTATATATGATATAAAAGACGAACGTAAAGTCCACCTAACGGTGTCTACTGCAGCTCATTAGCACTTGCAATCAACTTTATACTCATCATATCTATATATACATACATATTATATATATATATATATATATATATATATATATATATATATATATATATATATATATATATATACGTTGACTTTTAAAAAGTAGTATTTATTATTATTTGCGAATATACAAATGAATAAATTGAATAGCTAAGTTATTGTTGTTTTGTTAATACGAGCAATTAATAATATGACATAATTAAAGACACTAGATTTTTCTACTATATTATTTTTTTTTATTGAAGAGGGGGCAAATGAGCATGCAGCTCACGTGATGGTAAGTGACTACTGCCGCCCATAAACAATCGCATCACCAGGGGAATCGCAGGTGCGTTGCGGGCATTTTAGAAAGGAGTAAGCTCTTTTCTTGAAAGTCCCTAAGTCGTATCGGTCCTGAAAAATCGCAGGTGGTGAACAATTTAACAGAGAAGGAGTTTTCTTCCTTGTACAAACAAGGAAGAAAACTCCCAGTAAAACACACAATGGTGGACCGCCAAGCATCCAGATGGTGAGGATGGTATTGTGAATTATTTATAATATTGTGATATGTTTAAGTATTTTACCCGTGGTAGATACGATAGAAACGCAAAGGGATGCAACATCCCTACGCAGCGTCAGTGAGTCGAGCCGATCAGAAAGAACTCGGTCGTCGACGACTCCATGCTGAATGCGGTCAAGTAGAAGGAGCTGGCGGCACTGGGGTGCTCCAGCCCAGAGATGAAAACAGTAGGTATTCCATGTGAGGCCAAACTTGCGCTTTGTAAAGTTGCAAGTGATGTGCCGGCATAGAATATTGTCTCGCTCTGCTGAGCACGCCAAGCTTTTTTGAGGCCAATTTGGTCTTCCCCTCCAAGTGCCTTCAAACTAAGGAGATACGACAAAAGGGTTCTTTTTAGCGGTTGACGCGCAACTTGTGTCTTCTGGGGATTGAATTGGACTAGATTTAGTCTTTGCTTAACAAAACCGAGACTTCACTTACAAAGACACGACTTCAGATACAAGTTGGTCCCGGTACTCAGACACGTTTTTCCGAGGAATATTGGCACGGCTGGTGTATAAGGCATCACCAGTGCTGTCGACTGCATAGCAATGAATGTTACCAGTTTGCAACATATCATTGATATGCATAAGAAACAGCGTTGGTGATAGCTCGCAGCCTTGTGGAGCACCAGCATCAATAGCCTCGTAATCAGAGCATGCACCATCTACTACGACCTTGATGCTCCGATTAGCAAGAAAACTAGTGATCCAATCGCACAATTTTTCGGGAAGCCCATAGGAAGGGAGCTTCGAAAGAAGCGCTTTAAGCCAGACCCGATCGAGGGCCTTTACTAGTCCAAACTAACGGCCATTGGACTCTACTGCCTCCGCCCATTTATGAGTCAGGTAGACCATAAGACCATCAACTGATTGACCACGAAGGAAACCGTATTGGCGGTCACTAATCAGCTGGTGATCCTCAAGGTACCTCATGAGCTGGCAGTTTACAATGGACTTCATTATTTTGGAGAAAAAGGAGGTGATGGCGATAGGCCTGTAGTTGGACGGGTCTGAGCGGTCGCCTTTTGGAGGATCGAGTGGACTAAGGCTGTCTTCCAAGAATTTGGGACTACTCCTAAGGCGTAGTCCCAAATTCTTGGAAGACAGAGAGTAACTTCTGAGCACACGTCTTCAGCACAATAGTAGGGACTCCGTCTGGGCTACTCGACTTGCTAACGTCAAGGGAGAGGATTGGTTTCCGAACCGAGCGCTGTGTAAACCGCACATCCAGCATGGAGCACTTACACCGCAGGATGGTCGGCGGTGTGTTCTCCCCGAAAGAGAATCGAGTTGGATAGAGATAGAGAGCCTAACGGATCGGCTTTCTCCTTTGCTGCATGGGTCAGTGAGTCGTCCTCTCTGTGCAGAAATGGAAAAGGCAATAGCGACTCGATATATATGAAAATATAACCGAAAGCTATGAATGGTATTAGCGTAAGCCGTCCTTATAAAATAAATAAATATGTGTGAGAAATGAACCCTTGCATGAAGATAATAGAAACACAAATTGCAATCAAACAACAATTTAAACAGGTGGGTACTATACGTAATTGTAAATAAAAGACTGTGATAAAGCGAAGAGAAATACAGGTCTTTAATTATGTTTGACTGTTATTGAAAAATTAATGTAAATGTTTAAATGATACCAAAAAATTAAGGCTAATAAATTAACCAAATAGTATTATTAAATTAACGTAACTTGACTATATCCGATTCTGATTTTATATTGTAGACTTGCGATGTGTCAATTTTCTGCAAAAATATCTTCCCGTGCTTGACCCATACGTATTAGTAGCTTTTTTCTTTTGCAGCAGTTTTAGTTTTGTTCAAAAGCGTCTTTTTGGAGTAACTAAGATGATTATTTATATAAATAGGGTTATTCTCATTTAGATCAATATCTTACATTAAAATAAATTTATACTGGCGAGAAGTCGAGAGTCTGGTGAGAGTCTTCTTTCATTTACTTGTTGATAAAAGAAAAAATAATAGGATTATATTAAAGATAGGCCACAATTAAATGGCTGATTAAACCATTGAGCCGTGACAGTTAGATACTCGTACATAATACATTGTAACGTGAAATTAAGTGCTGATATTTACTACAACTTACCGCAAGAAGAATCTTAACTTGTCGAAGAAGATTTACTAATCTTATTAGTTCCAGTCAATTATACTAAACATCTACAATATGCAGGAGTGTTAAACGGGATAAAAACCATAAAATTAGATATTTCTATGCAATGATTATTTATATTCTTGCAGACGAATGTCCACCCAACGAGGAGTACCTCACTTGTGGGTCAGCATGCCCCTTAAATTGCACCAACCAGGAACCAGTTGCATGCACAAAGAATTGCGTTGCAGGTTGTTTTTGCAAGCCTGATTTCCTGAGGAATAAGAATGGTGCATGTGTACCAGTTGAAGAATGTTTCGGTAAGAATATGCAGGATACATTGGCCTAGTATCTATGATTTCTATTTTATTTTATATATGATATAAAAGACGAACGTAAAGTCCACCTAACGGTGTCTACTGCAGCTCATTAACACTTGCAATCAACTTTATACTCATCATACATACATACATATTATATATTTATATATATATATATTAGTTGTAGCACGAATGGGTCGGCTCGACCGGGGAAGGACCACGCTCTCACAGAATACCAGCGTAAAATAGTAGCGTAAAGCTGCTGTGTTTCGTATGGTGAGTATAGAGAACGGGAGACCCTTTTTACTGGAAACGAGGCATTCCCTCTTAGTCCTCAAGAATGACAACGTATCTGCATTTTGATTCGTAATCGAGGATAGATGTAGATGTCTATGGGTCGCAGCAACCACTTACCATCAGGTGGACTGTGTGCTCGTTTGTCAACCTATCCCATAAAAAAAATTTCGAACACCTTTGACAGAGCTTGCCACGCTAGCCTTTGGGTAAGCTACCAGCGTACGGCTTATCCCCTGGCCTGATTGACTGGTTAAAGGACATTCTAAGTGAACGACCTCTCCGGATCGTTGTCGATGGCTGCTCATCCGATCCTTCAGTGACTAACGCCAGTGTTCCGCAGGAGCCCGTTCTCTCCTCAACTCTCTTCCTGCTGCATATTAATAATTTTATTAATTATTAATATGCAGCAGGTATCTATGGGTATACAGACGAAAGCACAGTTGTGGAGAGATGCCAATTACATATTTGCTTCACCACGATTCGTACCAAGGAATTAGAATAGGAATTAAAAATCAGCGTCATTTCAATAGAGAAGATAATGCAGCTATGGTCCCATAATTATTAAAATTAAATCCAAGCTCAAGCATACTACTACAAGTCTCCAAGATACTCCAAGCTCGGTCTGCTTGGGTTGGACTAAAAGTTGAAGGTAGGCTTCTTTAACTATGACTTCAAAACTTCAAACTTCTCAATATTCTGACGGTGCTGTTAAGGGTCAAAATTAAAAAAGTTAAAATTATTTATATTTTTGCAGATGTATGTCCAACGAACGAGGAGTACTAAATCTATCTATACGTAAAATGAATCTGTAGAAAAGTCGTGTCTGTAATTCTAATATTTCCTAGAAAAAACAAGTCCAGGGGACTAAATAAAGGATACTGAAGCCAAATTACTGGTTTTTAGAATTTTTGTCTGTCTGTCCGTCTTTCTATCTGTCTGTCTGTCTGTGTATTAAAGATTCACGCAAAAACTACTAGACAGATCTCCATAAAATTTTGAATGCAGGCAGTTAGTGACCTAGTGGCTACTTATAGGCTACGTTTTATCCGATTACGGAACTTAAAAAAGGAGGGTTAAATATTAACCTTTCTTTAGAAGTAAATTTTCTATTATGTTTGATTTTTTTAATTATAAGCAGGATAACGTAGTGTTTTTAAACAAATACAATATTTATAATTAAAGTTTAAAATTTGTTTTAACTGTTATGTAATCATTTACCGAACCGTATACTTACTGCGGATATCTTTATACGAATTATATACGAAACAACGAGCATAGCCCATTCAATATCTCGATGTACAAATGATTGTGATTTAAAAATTTAATGTTAAAAAGTAACTTTCTTCAGAGAAGTTATTTCTTGGTTTAATTTTTGTTATTTTGGAATTTGCATACAATATACACAAAACCTTACTTTTTATTAAAGCGGAGAACTACCAAGTCTGCGGCGAAAACGAAGAGTTTAATTCATGCGGTAGTGCTTGTCCTCCAACGTGCTCCCAACCTGAACCAGAGGCTTGCATTCAAGTTTGCAGAGAGGGCTGCTTCTGCAAACCAGGATACTACAGAGACGAAAGTACCAACAAGTGTGTGAAGCGGGATCAATGTTATCAGAGTAAGTACATACAGAATATTCCATTGTGCGTATATCATCTTTGATTTGAAAAAATAGAAAATTGTTCGGAAGCAATTTTCGAAGCGCTTTTTAAGCATGACGATTACGGAATATTTCCCCATTGTGGGAATGGCACAGACAAATAAACACACACACACACACACACACACACACACACGCACGCACGCACGCACGCACGCACGCACGCACGCACGCACGCACGCACGCACGCACGCACGCACGCACGCACGCACGCACGCACGCACGCACGCACGCACGCACGCACGCACGCACGCACGAATGCACGCACGCACGCACGCACGCACGCACACGCACACGCACACGCTCACGCACACGCACACACACATGGTCTCACACATGCGCGCACGCATTCGTGCATGCATGTGTGATGTGTGTGAGTGATTCATGTTGTTACTTGTAAGTTGAAAATGTTTTCGGTTTTTTGTAATTTTGAACAGGTTTTACAACTTTAACAAAAATTATTTATTTTAAGTAAGAGACAACTGCCGTCAAAATTTAAATCTATTTAGAACTGTTTTTTTAAAAGGAGTAACATTTTTTCTGAAAGACCCATATGTCGTTCCTTTCGATCAGGAGAAATTGCTGTGGGTAACAGATTATACAAATAAGTAGTGCGAGGAAGCGAAGCTGTCTTAGGCACGGAAAATATCACAACTCGTCTAGACAGACGTGATATTTTATTAACAGATGTTTTTTTCTGGACGAGATTGAAACGTATCCATAACATACGATACGATATAACCTAGTACCAACTGATCCTCTGAAGAAGAATAAAACGGTGCGAGCTCTGACGCGCTTTTGTTTCCTCTTTAAGAAAGTACAAGTTTTTATGTGGTATAATCACGCTGCAGCTATAATATTTGTAGCACGAATTGGTCAGTTCAAGCAGGTCGGACCACACTATCACAGAACACCAGCGTAAAATAGCATCAAAAGGCTGTTTTGTTTCGTATGACGAGTCTAGAGAACCAGAGATTCTTTTTTACTGGAAACATGGCATCTTATTCCTTAGGGTTAACAACGCATCTGCGTTTTGATTCTTAATCGAGGATAAATGTAGATGAAATGGAATCATATAGTACATAGGTGCAGCGTGACTATACCACGTAAAGGATTTTTTCTGCATTCTAAATTTATTGATATTATACGGTTTTATTTAATTTTAATATGAAATATTGTGATATTTTAATTTTCTACTCATAATTATTGAATTGCATGTCGAGATAATATTGTTCGGACTATGTTATAAAACCTAAAAATGTACCATATTTCACGCAAATATATATTTGGTTTCTATTTATTTAATTATTATCTCTCTTATATAGAACAAACAAAAATATAAAACCTGCGTAAAATAACATATATCTTACATGAAGCACCGAACCTCTGAGAAGTCTACAGTATGTCCACATGTTAGGGATCGTACCAACTATATATTATACATAAGATTTGATAGACTACAAATTCTCAAAAAAGAAAAACGATTCATATCGAGGACAAACATGAAAATCATCCTAATTTTAAATAAGGAAGATGGCTGGGTGTAACCTATAATTAACAAAATTAAACTAAAGCCCAAGCATACTACAAGTCTCTAAGATATTTTAAACATTTTCTGCGTAGATCAAATTCAAATAATTAATTTTTAATACTTGAAGGTAACCTTAGTTAACTATAAGACAGCAGGACGTCAAACACCTCAATCCCCTAAGAAAGCATGGGTGCTGTAAAGTTCCCAAAATACCAAGTATCATAATAATTAAAATTAATCGGGATAAACATTATAAAATTAATTTTATTCGATAATTATTAATATTGTTGCGCGCCTAAGTTGACGTCATGTAGTGTCAGGGACGAGAGCGGGGGGAGCTTTCCAGAAAATGACATCACTAATCTTTCAACCGAAAGCGCCATCTGGTGTCGAAACGAAGAACTACGCTTCTAGAAGCCGACACTCGAACTTTCGACGCCTTGCGCGTATTTACTTGAATGTTCTGGATGTTTCGGTGGTAATGTGTATTTATAGGCGCTGCAAGGTGCGATCGGGGAAGTATTGAATTCGGCGAGACAAGCGGAGCGAAATAAAGTGAATCAGTGTGGTCAATTATTAGTGTTCTAAGTTTTAATTAGTGTAAAGTGAATTAAAGAGTAAATTCTTGCAGACGAATGTCCAACCAACGAGGAGTACCTGACTTGCGGGTCAGCGTGCCCCTTAAACTGCACCAACCAGGAACCTGTTGCATGCACAAAGAATTGCGTTCAAGGTTGTTTTTGCAAGCCGAATTTCCTGAGAAATGAGACTGGTGCATGTGTACCGGTTGAAAAATGTTTCGGTGAGAATATGCAAGAAATATTTACCCAGTATTTTTTCTTCTTATCTGATAGATATGGACTTGTCCGTTATATTTTTTTATAAAACTGAAATAAAAACGAACTTATAGTCTACCTCGTGGTAAGTGGCTACTATTCTCCACGAACATTTGCAGCCAACTTAAACCAAAGAAGATTACAGATACGTTATCACCACTAAGCACTAAGAATCCCGTCTTGCCTCACAGCTTGTAATAATACTAACTCTCTATACTCTTATTGACGGCTATACGTCTATTACCCTATTTGACGACAGTAATGGTCAAGAGAGTTGTACTAACCTAGACGTACTTCTAGGTAGGAAAAAAGTACTGCTACCTAGGGAGTTTTGGCGGGAACTTGGCCGTAGACGAATTTTTGCTCCTGTTTTGTCGCTTTAATAATGTTTTGAAGTGGATTTTGATTCGTAAAAGTGATGCGATTTTGTGAATTAAGTGTCCACGCGTGTGAACTATTAGAGAAAACGACGAAACAAGGGCTTTGATGTCGATATAAACCTCAAGTTATTTTGATCGCTTGGGCGCCTCATGAACTTGGGTGGCTTCGTCATCAACTGTCCGCTGGGTGGAGCTGTCGCCAAAATCTCCCAAGGGCTTCGCAATGTGATGCATCAGCATACTGTGAAGAAAAAGAATATGAAAATGAAGATTCCGAAAGAAATGATAGGCTCAGAATGGTTGGATGGGTTGTAAACTTAGTAAAAAAAAACTACCACCTAGAAAACTTATTCTTAAACTTGTTTTTTTTAAACTATTTTAAGTCAACGCTTATTAACTACAATGCTACATGATGGTAAGTCGTGATGTAGCCTAAGATCGCACTGAATGAACAAAAGTCTATTCACTCTTGCCTTGAAGACACCCACATTAGATGGAAAGACAGATGCTGGCAACTTAATCCACTCCTTTGCTGTACGACGAACGATGTAGTAAACCGTTTGGTTCGAATGTTCAACAACGAAAAGGTAGAGACTGGCTGAACGGCTGGTTATTCGATGGAGGAAGGAAGAGGGAGGAATTAAATTATGCAATTCCTGCACACACTCTTCGAAATGAGTTCTGTAGAAACCGAAAGGCTGGCTACTTTGAACCTGTGTTAAAGGCTGGTAAGATTGGTTTTAACCAGATTTGGGTCACAAAAAATCCTCAATTAAGTCCAAAGCCGCTGGATGGCATTTTGTAGTACCAGTCCATATATGGCAACAATACTCCATGCACGACCGAGGACTTGCGCCTTAAATAAAATAAGCAGCAGTTCCGGCATGAATTACCGCCGCACCTTTGCAAGAACTCCTAGCTTCCCTGCAGCTGCTTTGGCTTTGGACTCAACGAACCGGCCGAAGTTCAGGTTTGAGGATATCTCAACCCCCAACAACTGAAGGCGGTCGATGTATTCCAGTGATACGTTTCGAAAAGAGGTGACCTGGCTCCTTTTTGTAGTGAAGAGACATGCTTGTGTTTTGGAGGCTTTGAATTTCACAAGACTGGCATCCTCCCATTCGTAGCTAGCCGTGTAAAATTCACACGCTCAACCATAGTTTTTTCAACCAAAATACCATAAATGCCGGACATTATAATAAGGAAATGCCGTAATTGGTGGGTTAATTAATAGGAGTACTGTCTCGTACTTCTACTAATAAGTAGATACTAATTGATACTAATTCCAGTTGCTAGTCTAAGTACATCTGTGATATAAAATGAGATGGTATACTGCTAATAACTGATGACCTCGAGGCCTTTCTGGTCTTTCTCATAATTTCTTCTTATGATAGCCATGGATAGCCGTTGGTGCTGATCGCCATCGCCAATTAATGTATTTAACATCCTGACTCTTTGTTAAACTTAGGTCTCCTTTATGGAATCCTCGTCCTAAGCCACTTGCATCCATCGACTTCTTGCACGTGTTATTATGTTGCCATTGTCACTGATTACTATCTAGTATTGTACCGTCCTATGCTTTGCTTTTACCTGATTTCTTTTATAGGATAGGGTGACAAACGAGCACACAGTCCACCTGATGGTAAGTGTTTGCTGTGGCCCATAGACATCTACATCTGTCCTTGATTACGAATCAAAATGCAGATACGTTGTAACCTGTGAGGACTAAGATGGAATGGCTCGTTTCCAGTAAAAGGGTCTCCAGTTCTCTTCACTCACCATACGAAACACAGCAGCATTAAGCTACTATTTGATGCTGGTATTCTGTGAGAGCGTGGTCCCTCCTCGGTCGAGCCGACCCATTTGTACTACAACTATACTACTAATATAACTGCAGTATAGCTCTACCACGTAAATCAGGATCGAGAATCTTTCTTCCCCATTGTTTGTCGGTTCTTCGAAGCCAACCTGATGATATTTCTGTTTACTAATCTATTGGGTTAGATCATACTCTGGCTTTAATGTGGATATCCTTATTACCGATTACATCACGCAGAGGAACTCCTAGCATAGCTCCCTCCATAGCTAGATGCACAATCCATTGTGATAATTCAAATTTGATGTTAAAAAATGATTTTTTATCAGGGATGTTCCCTTTTCAGTTGTTAAGATTTGTTGTTTGGAATATGGATACAATTTACACAAAAACTTATGTTTTATTTTATCAGAGAACTACCAAGTCTGCGGCGAAAACGAAGAGTATAAGTCATGCGGCAGTGCTTGTCCTCCAACTTGCTCCCGACCTGAACCAGAGGCTTGCATTCTAGTTTGTAGAGAGGGCTGCTTCTGCAAAACAGGATACTACAGAGATGAAAGTACCAACAGGTGTGTGAAGCGGGATCAATGTTCTGAGAGTAAGTATCTATAGGATATTTCATTGTGCGCATATCATATTTGATTTGACAAAATAACAAACACACACACACACACACACACACACACACACACACACAAACACACACACACACACACATACAAGCAAGCAAGCACACACACACGCACACACACACACACTCACATACTTACACACAACACGGTGGTGCATGTTTTGATGCGTGTTTGTAGTTCATTCCTTAAGAACGTACATATCAAATTAGTCGCGTTTGGGCAACTTATAGTTAGTGTACACACAATTAAGGTAGTCAAGTTAACCCATTTTTGATAAAATGAATGAATAGGTGGCGCTATTACTTTACACACTATATATGCAAATTGATTCTTAAGGAGTAAACTACAAAATCTCTTTATCCATGCTGAACATAGGCCTCCCCCGTAGATTGAAACATGTCAACCGCAGTTATTCAGGAAGATGCTGCTGCTCATCACCTATTTCTATTTCCCTCTGTCACCCATTACGACACTCACGAGACGATATGGGGTAATAATAAATATTCATAACGTAATGACACAGAATTAACAATTTTAGGAGCTGTCGCCTATCTCTAGAGTATTTGAAATCGAATATATTTACGTACAAAAGGACTCATACTAGCTCTCTTGATGTTTAGGTTTGAAGAACGAGCCCATTAATTAAATTTCTCTAAGGTGTAAGCCCTTACCTTTACAGCTCACCAAAAGTCAACTTCTGAACATAGGCCTCAGGTGGAATGTTCGCCAGGGTTGTCAGACGTGTAAGCACCGCAGTTTTTTTTTAGTTGTTGTTAGGAAGACACTGCTGCCCGTCTCCTAGTACGTTGCCCTCTTTCGACTTCCACAAAACGATAAGGGGTAGTAGATATTCTTACAACGTCACTACGTGATCGTTCGTTAACATAATTATGTATTTATATTTTAAAGTTTCCCTAAGATATTTTATTGGATTTGCAATACTTATAAAAGGCTCTCAACTGAAAAACAAACATAGTTTCAACATCAGTCGCATCACCTCTTAGCAAGATCCTATGCGACTTATTACTATGGAAATAACTAAAATCAACTATACTAGCTGTTTCGATACAAGTAAGGTTTCTTATCGTTTTAATAGCATAAATCCTATAGAATTTAGTATTGTACCTGTCTATATAATCTCTCTTTATTATAGAATAAGGTGACAAATGGCAACACAATACACCTGATGGTTATTGGATTCCGTAGTCCATAGACAACTACATCTCTTCTGGGTTAAGATTTAAAAATGTAAATGCGTTGTGTGATATTCTGCACATTTTATGGTATACAAAAGTTACAGTCTTTAAACGTCTTACATCTGGGCACAGGTTTTCTCTCAATTTTTGAAAGGGGTTATAAATCTCTAAATCTGGCTCGCTGCTTCAGATAGCGTCAGAATAATTTTCATGGACTTAAAATATTTTATTCCTCCGCCTTGTTTCTTCACGATGTTTTCCCAAACACCGAGCAGGTGGTAAATTAGTACTTCAAATTTCAACTAACAATTTAATTGTTGAAGGATGGGATCTGGCCTGGGTATTTTTTTTGTGTAAGCAGCTATGCAGGTCTAAGAAGATTAGTATCACTGCGGCCTATAACATCTATTGTCATTGCTGCTATGGATTTAGTTCACTGCTAAGCCCTATATCTTCAATGAATTGAAGGAGTTATTTATCTGTAAGCAATTTCTCTTCTTCTGGGCTAAGTACGTAATTTCCCATATTAGTGTTACGTATGCACTTTAAGGGCTCACAATCAGTTAGGATGGCCAGAGGTGTTTCTACTGTTTAGAAACAGAATCCTGAATCAGATCAAATGTAAATAGTTTAATACATGCAATATACATTGTTTTAATATTTAGATCGCTGCCCCGAGAACGAAGTCTATGACATGTGTAGCGCAGGTTGCCAGCCATCTTGTAACAACAACGCTAACCCGTTATGCTCGAGGATCTGTGTGGCTGGATGCGTCTGCTATCCGGGTCTACTGCGCAATGATGACGGTGATTGTGTCAGCGTTGATGAGTGTTATGAGAATGAGTCCTATACTAATTTTTTGTACAACTATTTGAACGCCATCTACAGACTTCTGCTTCTATCCTACTACGCTTAATAATGTTAATCGATAGCTATCGCTAAATTATTTACGCTAATATCCTCGTAAAATTTTAAAAGTTGTGGCGACGAAGAATAAATTTGTCAAGTTAATATAATAACGCATTTTAATAAAATTGTTGATGAAGAATAAAAAAGGGTATCTTTTTTTATATTTAATCATCCACTTACAATTATACCATAGACATTTACATGTATCCTCGATTAAGAATAAAAATGCAGATGCGTTATCATCCGTGCCGCGCCGCGCCTTAATGAAACTTAGTTATTGGGATCCATTACGCACGTACAGGTTTCTTGCCTGTTGCTCACAGTAAAGTTAAGGTAATAATTTACATGCTAACCGTATAGCGGCCGTGAAAGATTATCATCCCGTGCGTGTCGTAAGACGCGACAGAGAACTGAAAAAAAACTAGTTGTCAAACCGCTTGCCAAGCGTGACAACTATTGCAAGTACCAACTAAACATGTAATGTAAAATATGTAATATAATAAATAATAATGGTAAATAACTAACATGCACCGTCTAAAAAATATGTAATGTTCTTGGTCAGGAGTGTCAAACATGAATTAAGCTCATAACGAACCCAGTTATTGGGAACAACGTTCAATTATCATCATCTCAATTTAAGCCATCATGACTCAAAAGCTATTCTCTCCCTTAAAAAAAATTTCGTGATGTAAACAAACCGATATACTTACTATTCAAAACTTCTACTCTAATACCTCATGTAAAAAAATACTTTCAATTCTTGAATGATACCATTCGGAACTAGTGTACGTCTATTGCAGGCGTTTAATTGCATTTAATTATTGTCATTTATAAAACAAAAAAATTCAATGTAAATGGGACACAACCATAGAATACTATAATACACAATATAATGGCTGTCAAGTGTCAACCTTACTTTGTACGAGGATCGGCGTCACCGGGAGCCCGGAAAATGTCGAAAGAGTGAGGCAGTCGATTCCGCGTTCTCCCCGGCGTTCGGCGCTCAAACAAGCAGCTGGTCTGGGAATTTCTAACACCACTGTTTGACGAATTCCCTATGAAGACCGTCAATTTCATCTCTACAAATTGGCTGTTGTGCAAGAATTAACTGAACGCGATTTCGTTGCCCGTCAAAATGCATGTGAAGTGCTGGACAACCTGCCTCAAGACGCGGTCGTTTCTTACAGTGACGAGGCTCACTTTCAGATTTCCGGCTGCGTCAACAAACAAAACATGCGTTATTGGAGTGGTGAAAATCCGCGTGAATTTCACCAGAAGCCACTTTATTGTGAACGCGTTACTGTCTGGTGTGCGATATCAGTAATGGGAATAATTGGTACTTATTTTTTTTGAAGAAAACGAACGCGCAGTTACCGTGAATGCAGCTCGTTACAGGAAATGATCGGGGATTTTTTTCTTCCAAGTCTCTAAGAAATTAACGTTAGGGACGTGTGGTTTCAGCAAGATGGAGCCACAGCACACACAGCACGAGGACCAATGGATTTGTTGCGACATTTTCCCGATCGCCTCATCTCTCTCAGAGGCGATCTCCCATGGTCGGCATGCTCTCCAGATTTGGCCCCATGCGATTTTTATTTATGTGGTTATTTGAAATCCCTGGTTTATTTCGATCGACTACAGATCATATCTCACCTCAAAAACAACATTCGCGATGCCATTGCCAACATACCGATTGATTTGCTGCGAAGTGTCGAGACAAGCTTCAGAAATCGACTTAATCAGTGTATGCACAATGGGGGTCACCATTTAACCGATGTCATTTTAACACTGTATGAAAAAAAACTTGAATTTTGTATTCTCAAAAAAAAAAAAAAAAGAATTAAAACAATACGTGAAGTACTTTTGTTTTTATTGACCTTTCAAATAAGTAAGTTTCTCTGGCGCACCCTTTCGTAATGATACGTAACCAGAAGATCGACTCTAAAAACTGTATTGCAAATTTTTAATGTTATCCTGAGGGAACAAATTAATAATTTGATAAAAAATATTAAAATTGAGTTTATTCGTAGGTCATTAAATTAATATTTTTCATCGTAGCTTAGTTTTTCGTAAAGCCAGGTACAAATTTAAAGGCTAAAATATTTTCAAAGGCTTATCGGTATCGGTAAAATTTTGTTACATCTATAGTACTTGCAATGTCCTCTGAGAAATTACTAGCATAGATAGAGTCCCAAAGTAGGCACGAAATTCTTATAGTTGAAGTCTTTATACATATGAAGTTTAACAAAGTACAAAATAAGATGGCAACCCCTTACAAGGTGGTTGCTGTTTTTGTACCACCTCTACCTCTCACCTCTAGACACCTCTATTGATGTGCCATTAGCGAAACAAAAACGTTGTCGATAAATTCATTTAGTCTATGATTTAGTAAAATTAAGGAATTTTATTTTTCCGGTACGTTATACTTATTTATATTAACGAAAGTTTATGGAAGCTTCATCTGACATATAATACATAATTAAAAATATAGCGTGATAAGTTCACTATGATATCTACCTCAATTCGGCTGATAAATTTCAGCCAAATTATCCCTAGACTTAGTATGGGTTTCACAAGGAAAAATAATTGTGTTTGTGCAACCGACAGTTTGTGTCACGGGACGTATACAGAGGGCACTGCTATAACAGTTTTTTTAATAGTGTAAGGGTGTCAAACGAGCACACAGTCCACCTGATGGTAAGCGGGGTATGTGATTCATAGACATCTACATTTATACTAAATTAAAAATTAAATGAAATTGCGTTGTCAAGGACTAAGATGAAATGCTTCGTTTCCAGTTAAAAGAGTCACCGGTTCTCTACACTCAACACAAACAGTGTAAAGTTAAATAACAGCTTAAAGCTATTGCCTTAAGCTGTTATTTAACGCTGGTATTCTGTGAGGGCGTGGTCCTACCCCGGTCGAGCTAACCTATTCGTGCTACAAATATTATAGCTGCTGCTGCTGCGTGGCTTTACCACGTAAAGTAGTATAGTGATATAACAGTGGCACGACTGCGGTCTGCCTTCTTTTTTGTCGCTAGATCACAACTATTAATAAATCGATTACGAACGCATAACCCGTTTTCTCTCAACTCCTTCAAGATCTTATCCATTATTCATTAATTAAATGTAGCCAATCAAAAGTCCATTGCTGAACATAGAGGGAACATTTTCCATGGCTCCGTCTCTTAGCAAGTGGTTTGGCAACCGTTTTATAGGAGAAGAGTGGCAAGCGAAAACACAGTCCACCTGATGGTATGTGATTGCTGTGGCCCATAGACATCTACATCTCTCCTCGATTACGAATCAAAATGCAAATACGTTGTCACCCGTTAGGATTAAGATGGAATGCCTCCTTTCCAGTAAAAAGGTATCCGGTTCTCTACACTCGCCATACGAAACACAGCAGCGTTGAGCTGATATTTTACGTTGGTATTCTGTGAGAGCGTAGTCCTTCCCCGGTCGAGCCGACCCATTCGTGCTACAACTATACTACTAATATAACTCTACCACGTAAAATCTTATAGCTTCTGAGGTCTTATAGCTTATGAGTAATAATATATGTTATTAAGTAGGAGATCGTGAATTCTATTTTGCTGCCATTACATAGCATTATCAAGATCCTGCCTTACCTTCATGATTTAGAAATATTTTCAAACGGGCTTAGATGAAAATATTTATAAACTTTTGTTGAATGTAATCGATGGTTTATATTTTCCACTAAGCAAGTGTTAAATCTATATAAATAAAAATTTGTCATCGCATGTATGAAAGATGATCACTTAAGAAAGGCTGCACAGCTTTCGATGAACACTCACACTTACAATTGGACCCGGGTAAATAGCATTGTTCTTGAGATTTAGAAAACAGTCTTGCAAAGCCTGGGCGGATGTTAGTCAGAGTATAAAATTGGGATTACAAATGAGATCCAACTCGCTTATGTACCATGTGTCTGTCAGGACTTAGTATTGTTACCTCCTTAATTATTAGTTATTAAAGTTTGCGAAACGAATATTTTAAATGTAGTTTAATAATCATTATCACATGATTTAGAAGACAATTTACTTGATCGTTCGAATTATTATAAGTCTAGTCCTATTTTTTTTAAACATTCTTGGGCAGAAAAAGTAATAACAATAAATAACTAAATAAAAACGAGTATATCGATGTCGATTGTAGCTAACATTGCGAAAGAAATCACTATAAATTAAAGACGTAATGTCTTGTAAAGTAATGTCACACATAATACTACTACAACAGGGATGTCATTTTTCTAGTAAATCAGAACATACGAGTGTACTTAATCTCATATTTGGCATAGTGCAAAGAGACGAAAGATGACCACTTGACATTTCTATTTCCACGCGTGAATTATACGCAACATAATATTTCAATAGATTTGTGAAAAAGCGAGGCTGAGTCAATATACTTATATTGACTCAATTTATGTTGAATTGTAGGTTCTCTTTATGCATACGTATCCATGTAATTACTCCAAGGCAATATCTGTTGTTTTTGACACATCAATATTTCTTTATGTTTGTTTTAATATTCACAAAATACAAATAGTTTCGACTTACTGGTTGTAGGACGTGTCTCCTTTATTTATATTCCATTACCGTTGTTCTTTCGACATGTAATTATTGCACAATTTGCGATTTTTAAATAATTTGCATGCAGCGGAGCTTGACACAAAAATTAAACGATAATAAAGTCAAAAGAGATGTGTTGGCATTTATAGGTGTAAATTGACATGTTAGTGACTACACGGGCTCCGCCCACTCCCCTGCTCTATTATATATGTATTATGATATACTATGGACACAACGCTTAATATTGAATGAAATTTTTACAATACTTGAAGCGTCTGACCAAAAATGGTACATGTAATGTTTAGAAAAGTAATTTAAAAATAATTCTCTCCATTCAAAAATATAAGTAATGTAAGCAAATTTGCAATAAAAACTAGTCAAAACTTCTGTACAAAACTAGTATTCAGATAATA